TATTCAGGGAATTTTTAAAAAACATATAATCTGAATTTGTAAGTTTTCCTCCAGGATATTGATGAATTGATCTAGAAAAGTAGGTTTATAATTTAATTCTGCTTTCTGTATTCTACCATTACATTTCCATAAAGCAGTGTGACATTTCAAAGCATAGGTATTGGCTTTAACAATTTTTTTGCAAAATTTGCAATGAAGATAAAGTTTCTATTCCTAGAATTCAAAATGATCTCTTATTGAGAAGGAAGAATTGCCACGATGGTGAAAAGGATCTTTTAAAAGGAAAAAAAAAAACTCTAAATAAGGATGTTTAAATCATATAATAAATCACCAAAAATTCCTGGAAGCTGAACTCTGCATCTTGGCACCAAACACAATAAACATATTTCCACAAAGCTGCTGTTGTCTCGTCCCAACTGATGGTAAACAGAACCTTCCCTTGACAAAGCTGTGAAGTCTCTGAAGAGTCCTGTTTGTTTTCCGTGTTCTCAGCTGTCCCTTTGTAGAGCTGTGCCTTCTTCCACTCTAAGCTCTCTAGGTTTCTTAGTCCTGTCGCCTACATCGAAATTTTAAACAATCTGATCTCAGTTATTTATGTTTGTGAATTAATTGGCCGGTCATAGTGTTTTCTTTTAAAATTACAGTGTCTTACAACAATAGACATTTATAGTGTGTTCGTATCTTCATCCATTCACTTCATTGGTTTTCATTCAACTAATGTTTATTGATACCTATTCTGTGGCAGCTGGGCATTGTGCCTGGTGCAGGATTTTACCAATAAGAGCAATTAACCTTGTAAAGAGAATGAATGAATGATATGAGACCTTTTATTATTTATGGACAGAACAGGATTATCTTAGGACTCAGAGAGCAAATGGAGAAATTGGGAAGAGAAAGAAGAGCCTCTGAAATGCCTTTCTGGATGTTCTACTCCTTACAGAAAGAACTGAAGGAAACTGTGATTTCTATTCTCTGGCTTCACAAAGGATCAAAACTCCATCTTTGGCTG